GCCCTGCCTTGAAGCTCCGGTTAGAGTTGGGGCTGTGCCAGCAGCTGGCAAATGCCCACCTCTCTTTTGTTTGCAAATAGGGGCCACTCTGAAATGCTGGTCCCCTTTAATGAACTGGGTCCAGTAGAGAGGTTAGAATAAGTTGGCACCAACTTTTTTCAGGACGTCTATTTCAGACACGGGGAACCCTCCCCCAAAAAAGGAACGGTAAAAGAAAGGGCACCTAGCTGGGGGACCTAGTGAATGTACCACAGGTAAAGAAAGGGGCACCCTCAACTCGCACTGATGAAGTCAAATTGGCCGAGGGGTTTCTTGCACCGGCGGCGCTGCGCCTTCATCGAAGCGATACTGTCTGGAGAGCCGCATGGAGCATGACAAGCGGTTTCTAGAAACCCTGAGGGTCCGATTCGATTGATTTTGGGGGCCTCAAAATGGGTTGCTTTTGAGGGCCCGGGAGAATTTGGGCTCTCCATTGGAGGGGTTCTTATGGGGTCTGCATTGGAGGGGTCAATGACCCTTCGGGAAGGCCGAAATTGACAAACGCTTTCTAGAAAGGCCGAAATAGACCAGCCCCGCCCCACCACTGCTTTTACAGTACTTGGGATTCTGGAGCTAACTCATCGTTTTGTTTTCTCGTGTGTCCTTCCACACAACCCATTCTGATCATTTAGCTCCAGATACCGTCCCATATTTTCCTTCTCTTCGGATCCCTGAAGTATTCAGCCAGGTTCGCGAGCTGACAGGAGCATCTCAGCATCCCCAACTTGGTTTTCCCATGTCCAGATATCGCACACTTAAGACCTGGCGAAACTTTGTCCCGCCACATCTGGGTGAAGTGTACTATTTCGCCAACCTGCAATAAGGTGGTTGGGGAGCTATTCACATAAACCCACCAAGCACCATTTGGGGTGAATTCGGTCGTGTGAGGTGGCTATGATTCACCCAGACTAACCAACTAAAAGCCAAGCCTCAGAAACCGGATGGTTTTCGGAAAGGACATTTCTGGCCAAACCCTACAACTTCTCTCTTGGCCCAAGTAGAATCTGCTGCTCCATCGCGGATATCTCAAAGGCACAAAACCCTGGAAAGAACCCAGCTCAAGCCCACCAAACCAGGGTCCATGGAGGGGGGGGAAGCCATAGAATATATGTATATATATATATATGTATATGTATATACACCTGGAGTCTCCATCATGACCCTTTAAACATAGGTCCATGACTCCATTAGACCACAGTTTTCAAGGGTCATGGAGACTCTAGGTATATTATATGGTACCCCCCCCCATGGACCCTGGTTTGGTGCGGTTGACCTGTATTTTCCAGTGTTGTATGCTTCTGTTTGCTTCTTGGATTTGTGTCAAAATTGGGGGGAGGGTCATACATGTATATGATACGCATGCATGCATACAGATGTTATAAAAGCAATGACATCAGCACCTGCAATCTGAAAGAGTTTGAATGCATCCAAGAATACAAGAACAACTCAGACATGTTTAAAAATTATTAAAAATTATGGGATTCAAGATTCAAGATTCAAGAATGTGAGAAACATATTTTCTGGGAATCTTGAATCTTGAATCTTGAATCCCACAATTTTTAAAAGTTTTTTTAAAAACAATCTGGATTCAAGATTCAAGATTCAAGAATCTGAGAAAATATGTTCTGGGAATCTTGAATCTTGAATCTTGAATCCCATAATATTTAAAAAGTTTTAAAAATTCCAGGGTTGTCCCAATACTCTCGGTGTTCAATAAGATTCTCGGAAAAGTTTTCCGTGAAATAGTTCAATCCAGTGGTAACGGAGATGTTTGAGGTGATAGAACAACTTGAACATTTTAGGGGTTGACCAGGATGGATGATTCTCAGGAAAGTGGTGGTTTGTGGGCTCCTCAATATTGAATCCCCAATCCAGTGGTAAAGCACTTTCAAGTGTTAGAAGAACTTGAATGCTATTTGGGTTTGGCCAGGATTGACAATTCTCAGGAAAGTGTTCTGTGTAATCTTCAATATTGAATCTTCCATTCGATAGTAGCAAATTTTCAAGTGCTTAGCGATCCAGTGGACACACTTTCAAGTTATTGGTTAGACAAACTTTCAAGTGCTTTTGGTGAGCTTCATGTCAGCTATGCTCATGGTGACCCCTTTCCAGGAGGTAAACAAAGGCAGGTGCAATGCTCAAAAAAACTGTATTTTCCAGTATTTTATGAGGAGGCGCAGGATCATTGGGGGTACTATATATGTGTGTATGTATGTGTATATATAGATATACATATGTATGTACGTTCACACACCGTCCCCCACCCTCTTCAACTACCTGTCCACATTTGCTCATCTACTACCTCCACCTTTTGAGATAGAATTAACTTTCCTGCGCAAATCGAACTTTAAATACAACGGTTTAGCTAGAATCCCTGTTTCGAGATAGTTTTAGATTTTGAACCTCTCTTCCCTTGAAATTTCCCTTTGGAACACCGTCTAACAAGTTCAATGTCGGACCTTTCTTATGCTACAAAAGGGCCAGAATGTAAATAACACAAATCCTATTTTGAATTTCCAAATGTTTAGCCATACTTAATATGAATTGTATTTGAGATGTAGTCTCCATTCACTTGATAGTATCAAAAGCAAATTGAGTTGTGTTCGTCTTAGATTATATTTATTGGATTATATTTGGGAAAAAAACTTCCATCTAACTTCCTGTGTCATAGATTAGTTGGAGTTTAGCCGAAAATATATATTTACATTTTCATGTAGCTGCTATTTGGAAAGGATTTGCTTGTTTAAGCTGTAATTGAACATAAACACATTTTTGAAAACTATATCCATACTAAACTATATTCAAAATTCCAATTCTAGTTGAAGTAACATCTTATTTGCAAAGGGTATCATACTGGGACATTGTGGAGGACTCCGGGCTCCAAATTATCACGCTTTGGGGACCCACAATTGGAAATTTCGAGAATATAAATTTGGAAATTCTAGATTTGCCATCCCCAAAAGGCAGTAAAACCAGGGTCCATGGGGGGGGGGTTGCATATATATATATATATATATACATATATTCCCAAGCCTTCCTTGGTTCAAACAAAACACATGTGGTGCTGTGGGACGTGGTGCCGCCGATACGTGCCGCTTTTTGAAAGGGGATACCAAGAAGGGCCCCTACTATTGACAAACCTTTACGTCATTCTTTGCAGACTCCCACTCAACCTGTGCAAACCAAGGAAGCAAACAAGACTAAAATAAGATCAACTGCTCCGCGCCCCTCCGTTCACAGTCAATCCTGCGTGTGACTTAATTTCGGGTTCATGCATGGCAGGATGCTTCGCAAGCAAGGTCGGACAAGAAGTTTCGCAATACCATGAGTCATTAACATTCAGGAGCATCCTTGGCTTCTCATGGTAACAGTGATGCTTGCTGGTTTGAAGTTTGGTGGTTTGGGGGTTGGAATCTGTTCTTGTAGAGGGTAAATGGGAAACCACCCTTCGTAAGCTCCAAGTCACCAATCCAAACCACATTAGAAGGAAGCTGATTCACACATGCAATTGTTGCAAGCATTTCCTTCACCATCTCCATGAATTGGAATCTGTGCATGCCGTTTGGTTTTGCTGTTCCTACACACTGTTACAGCATTGCTTATGTCCTCAGCAAAGCCTAAGACTGATTTCCCCAAAAGAAACAGGAGAGCTCCGAATCTCTCTCAGGATGGAGTTGGGTTGCAATAAGAACAAAGCTGGTTGACCTGCTTGCGCGCATTGTCGCCTGGCTCAAAGAACGAAATTCCATGCAATCACCGGAGCCGGTGATCTCTAGAAAGCCCCTAGACTGCACCACTACAAGTGGATGGGCCAACAAAAAGTCTGAGCTTTTTTGTTCCTTCTTAGAAACTAGGCTGGAATTAGGACCCCAGCAAAAACATATCTTTTTTTGCCTGGTGAGTGGTAAACAACAAAGGGACCCCCCCACCAAAAAAAAAAGGGGGAGCTGATTCTGGGGAAGGAAAATGGTCTTTCCCAAAAGTTTAAAGTCCAGGAAACTCGGGGAGTGAGTTAAACATCACGCTGCCAAAAGGACACTCTGTGAAGTGCCCTGGCCCCAAGCCGTCATGTCTTGACCATCCCAAAGCGGAAATACGGGAACCCGCGCAATGCTGGAAACCAAATTGGCTGATTGAGGTCGACAGTCTAGAGCTGGACATCATTGAAGCGTTTGTGCCACTTGCCCTGATGCTTGCTCATGTCTTGCTTCGTTGCAAGGCTGCCCACAAATCCCCTGCTAAAGGTTTAGCTTCTAGTGGGTTAAATGGAAACTACCACTAAACCCTAAAAACCTTGAAAGTCAAGTTGATAGCTGGAAGCCACCAAGATTAGTATGTCCTTCAATCAATCCTCACATCCCAAACAGGACCTTCTCTACACAATGCGCGTGCTGCGACCAGCCACTTCGACATGACTTGCATTCTTCAACTTGAAAGGTTCTTTATTTGTCTGGACAAAGTTCAAAGATCGAGCCAGCCAAAGAAAACCCCTTCGAACATGGCAATGAACAAGCACAAAACCTGCATAAAAGAAAAACAAAAACAACATCCAGCCTGCCTTGGCAATTTGTGGTAAATGACAGAGCCTCTCTTCTTCTGCAACATTCAGACATCCACCAAAGGTACGCCAGAAAACGGCAAGAAACTTGGTAGTTGGTCCAAGCAATCGCCAGCTCATGTAATCAGGAAATTAACATCCAATGGTCCTTTTACCCCCGGAGACAGGTTTGGCATGCCAAGAAGCAGGCTACACTTTTCGAACAACCAAACATTTCTCTGGGCAAAGCAGTACATTCTCCCTCCCACGAACATGACACCTTCGGACCCTTAAAAAATGGTTGGTCATTGCCCGAAATAATGGGGTCATGGACCTACTTTTATATTGGGTCTTCAGAAAAACTCCAGGTGCATTGGAGGGCTCATAACCCTTTTGTCGAGCTGGCTCGAGCCTGGCCGCGAGATCAGACTCCGATGACATCGAGTTGCTCCATCAGTTTCTGTACATCCGACGCGTTCCCCACTCCGTAGTGCAAGCTCCTCCGACAGAGCACCAAGCGTTTTGTCGGCGTCGACACGGCTATCAGAATCTTCGGACCAGGTGCCCGAGAGACATTGCCGGGTGATTGCTGATATTGGCTGTTATGAATCCCAAACTGGAAATGCATTCACTTTTTGACCAAGCCTCATGATGTTTTGCCAACTGGCCGCAGCGATTGTTTATGCGGGTGCTGCTCCTTTTGAACAATTGGAAAGAACCCGACATGTTGCCGCCTCAGTCCATCAGCTCTCTAGCTCCCGCCGTTCTGCCTCCATACATTTGGGCTGTGCTTTTTCGGGGGACCGCTTGGTGTGTGTGGTTTTTCCAGGGAAATCAAAACGAACACAACTAGTTTGGAGGTCAGCCTGTTTTGACGAAGACCCATTTGGCCATGGGTCCAAATCACGTACCCCCAGTGAACATCCCAAGCCCCATGAAAATAGTTTCTAAAATGGGTGGTGCTTTCTATCCCAAAATGGTACCATTGGTTTTGACCCACAGCCATTTGTTGTCCAGTTTCAGAGCACTCTTGACCAAGAAAACTGGGCTGTCCTCAGATCCCCAGCTAAAAGTTTTAACTTTTAGTGGGTTAAATAGAAACCCCCACTAAACCCTAAAAGTCTAAAAAGCTGAGGAACCGAATGGCTGAGAACAATCAATGGCAACGGTCGCGATGGCTGACCCCAAAAAATATGTCCAACAGAACCTCACTTCCTGAGTGGATGGCCCCAAAAAAGTCCAAACTTTCTATCTACCTGGAGTCTCCCTAACGACACTTTAAAAGTAGGTCGGACCCTTTAAAAGTAGGTCCATGACCCCATTATTTAGGGTAATGACCTCATCATTATTTAGGTCACTGACCCCATTTTTAAAGGGTCATGGAGACTCTAGGTACCACCAAAATAGTCCAAGCCCAACAAGTGACTAGAGTCCGAACCGGAACTCAGGAAGTGCGAAGCCCTTTCCAACAGAACTCAAACCGCCAACCGCCAACCGCTCCATCCCCCCTACCTTAAGGGGAGGGGGGTTGGGGGGGTCCCCAATTCCATTTATCTAGTCTTCTGAATTTCCCACCACACATGGAATTCGAGGGGTCACCCCCCTCCCCAATTCCATTTTTGAGGGGGTGGGGATACCGCTCCTTTCCAGGAACCGCGTGGCGATGCTGTGATCAAAGCCGCACTCAGCCATCTCCTCAAAATGGAATCCTCGGCTTCGAGCCAGGCGACTGCCGGGATTCGACAAAGGATTTAGAGTCTCCTTCTGACCCTTTAAATATGGTTGGTCATTACCCTAAACAATGGGGTCATGGACCTATGTTCAAAGGGTCATGGAGACTCCAGGTACATGGACATGCCACTAGATTCCTTAAAACATGAGTTATTATGGGTCATTGCCCTAAACAATGGAGTCATGGACCTATTTTTAAAGGGTCAGAAGGAGACTCCAGGTAGAACCCGTCGTTCAGGCAGGCGCGGGCAAACCCCAACGCAGAAAGAAAGCTCGCAAAAAACGCGGCTCTGCGGAATTTGGTCCTAATATACATTGCCTGAAACCCCAATTTCTAGAAGCTGCAATAAAAAACAGATCTTTCGACAGAATGTGAGACGAGCTTTCGCTTTCAGGAGGTTTGACCGGAAGCTGAAGACCTGTTGGAGAGTAAGCCCGCAGGGGGTCGTCCCTTTTTGTCAAAAAGGGTCTTGAAGGGCAAAACAAGGATGAGTGGGCCTTTTCCCGTGAAGCATCCATGCATCCATGACCCCCGTTAGAGGCTCCAAACAAGGTTGAACCCCCTCCCATTCTATCAGATAAAATAACAATAGTCTATCTTTATTGGGGAAAAAACACGTCCAACTTTGGCAGAAAATATATTGACAAATCACGATTCATGTTTGACGCATTTTGGGGGTATCCATCCATCCATCCAACCAACCATCCATCCATCCATCCATCCATCCATCCCTTAACTTCCAGGACAACCCTCGCTCCCCCCGTCGGCTCAACTTGTCGAGGCGCGTAGGAGGTGGTCCCAGACCGCCAGCAGCATGCCCCAGGTCTTCGGCGGATTCCACCGAGGGTTTCTTCTGAAAACAGTGAAATGGAGAGAACAAAACGATCCTGTTAAAGAGAAAACACATTTTAAAAAGAGAATGTCCAAAGTTCAAAGAGAACAGAAAACTAATCCCGATCCAGATGCTTGCTTTCTTTTCAAATGATTGATACTTGTTCTGAGGGAAGCTCTCTCTCTTGGGAAGGCCTTCCAGCGCAGCGGAAGCTAAAGTGCCTAACTGCCACACTTGTTTGGAGCGTCTCCGAATCCTAGAGGTGATTCAGCTTCCACAAAGCACCACCACGTGTTTCAGCTGTCCGGGAAATCGGGCAATCACGGGCACGAGACCGCGTTGCAAAAGGTTGCAGAAACTCGAAATCCCCAAATAAGAAACCTTTGTCGAATTTTCCAAGAGAAGAACCTGCGGCATGTGGCTTGTCTTGCCCCAGGCGTTTGTGCCTCGTGATGCAGAATGCTTGTCATCTATGGTCAACGCTGGATCACACTCATGGCTCCAGTGGATCATGTGAGTTGAGAACATGTGAGTTGTCAATAGCCGCAACAAACATTTATCTGAAGTCTCCATGACCCTTGAAAAATGGGGTCATTACCCTAAATAATGGGGTCATGGACCTATCTTAAAGGGTCATGGAGACTCCAAATACATGGAAATGCCACTATATTCCTGATTGCATTGGGGAGCTTTCCCCCTCCGACCGCGAACTTCGGGGAGAGAAACGTTCTGAGGAACCTCTTGCTTTTGAGAGGTAAGGTTGATTCACTGGCTGCTATGATTCACTGGAATGTCTCTCAGTAGCACACCCCAGGCGGATGAAAATTGCCAATCTGCCATGCTCAGTTCAGACACCCAAAAGCATTGATGTTTTCATACCTGCTCATAGTGTTTGAACAGAAGCGATGTTTCTCTGCAAACCCAACAGAAACGTTATGATGCTTGTCTTGGAGCACATTACGCCGATAGGAAACACTTCTTTGACGGCTCCTTCTGCACTTGGGCCAGAAAAGGGACCGAATTTGTCTCTTGATAAGTTGATGGACATTTTCGGGCCAGAAGCTCCCCGCGCGCCAGCCAGGCCACCGGATCGATGGCTAAAAAAAAAACTCCGCGCCTCGGAGGCTCGGTCGTAGTTGCCCTGAGCGGCCTCGTCTGTAAGCCAGTAGCTCACCTGCGCTCGAGAAACCCGCGCGCATTCCTTAAGGTCAAACCCCACATCTGGTCATTCCTTCTCGCCGGCCCCCCCCCACCAATGCGATGCACCATGGTCAAAAAATCCCCTTGGTACGGGAACCAAAAAGCAGGACTTGGGGGGGGGTTGCTGGTAGGCGTATTAAGTTCCTTCGTGCACGTTAGTCAAGGGCAAAGATATACCTGGAAACCCAAATGTGACGTTGTTTTTCTGTCCATACGGCTTGGGCTGCAAAAAAATGACCACACGGTGATTTTCGGCTTTTTGTCAACAATTTGTTGAAACAAATCGGGTTGCATATGGCCAAATACGGTCACCGGCCAGCAAAAAATGATCATTCGGGAAAAACGATTCAAATACGGGTTCCGTGCAAAAAAAAAATGGCCATACGGCTTTCCAAATAAGATGGTTCCAAATGTTGACCCAGCCTCGCGTTGTGACTTGTCTTCCGCATTTGTTTCACTGGGTCCTGAAGATACAAAAGAGCGACCAAATCCCGCCCGGGTCCGAACAGGCAGCGGTTGTTGGGTCCCTTTTTGACACCGTGCAGAAAAGGTAAGGGACCGTGGAAAAGAGAGAAGGCGGCTTGATCCGTTGACGGATCAGGATTTGGATGGGCTCAGAGCAAGGACGGAGAACAAAACCCAGCGATTCCAGGTTGCAAGCCTACGTAACTCATCGAAGCTTAGAAGCTTTTAACATGAAACCCAAGAAGCTTGCGCCATTTCATAGCCCAGAGGGTCCAAGTACCTCATGAGGATGGCTTTTGGGGGGGTAAAAAGGGATCCAAGTACCTCCTCACAAGGTACCAAGGGACCCTCTGGGTAGGAACATCCCTTTGAGTTTGGAGCAACTTCCCGTGGGGGACTCCCCAAAAACCGGGGAACTCCAATTGGCGTCCCGCAATTCTACAGGGGTCTTTGGTGCACGGAACATGAGCCTAAAACCCTATTGTCAATCAAGAAGCATGATCAGTCATGTAATTGCGTGAGAGTGCACCCCTCAAGTTGCACAAAACCCTATGCCAGCTTTGCGCACACACACACAGCGGAATCAGAAGAGATGTAGACTTCTCTCGTGCAGGTGTTGCCTGCGAAACAAGCAAACCTGCGACATGCAGAACATCAAACACCCCGGGGCTGAAAACGTGGCTCTGGCAAAGGGCGATCCAGAATTTCAGCCCGGCAAAGGCTATCATCACAACCCCTGCGCATTTTGCGAGCCAAAGCAGGGACTCTTTTTGGTAGTTGGAGATAGAACCGATTTAAGACAAACTTGAAGGGTCCCTGGGCTTTCTCACGTGTGTTGGGCAAAGGAAGAAAACAAATGCCACAAACTCTCTCTGTCACAGAGCACTGTGGGATGAAAGGACCACTCTGAACGCGTACAAAATGCATGGTTGCAAATCCTCTGAGGCCCATCTTGTGTGAAAGTGCAAAACCTGCATGTTAATACTTCGTGCTTCGTTTGCGGAGAAGCCCCGCTTTTGGTCGGCATTTAAAGGGAAACCAAAAGGAAACCAACCCCCTTGCGGACCCCTAATTCCGACTTCTCCATCGTCCAAGAAGGGGTCTTGGCCCCTTGACCCCAACAGCGCTGTAAGAGTGGGGGTGGTTCATCCTCAAGTGTTTCCGGAACCTGCTTGTTCCCTCCCAGCGGTCTGCA